GCATCCTGGGTCATGCACAGCTGCAGCCTCTTCACAAACCACCCAGAGCAGGAGCAAAGCGCTGGGTTCATCCAAACTCACACCATCAGCTCTGCAGTCAGAGGCAATGGCTCTCTCTAGGATTGCCCCAGGACACGTGTTTATTGGCATCAGGGGCGATCCTAAGGACTCAGCCCCGGAGATTCCTGACAAGGCTTTGATGCAAAGGAAGAACTTGTTAATCACCCTGCAGGGAAACACATTGTACCTGGATCCAGATCTTTTTGGGACTCCTGTGCCACAGAGCTGGTTTTCCAGCGCATTCTGCCCATTCAGCCTGTGCTGGTGCAGATCACTCAGAGCAGTGCAGATCCCTCAGAGGGACCTGCAGGCACTGCCAGGGAGTGCTCAGGACACCCAGGGGCCCGGCAAATGAGGGGACAAAAGGGACCACAGCTGGAAAAGGAAGGAGCAGCCCAGTGCTGACAAGAACAAATACAATTCAACACTTCCTTTTGAATAACCATTGGCAAACATTTCTGATGAGCTTTAAAGCCTCAGAGTGAAGCAAACAGACGGCGCCGGGGTCAGGAAGAGTGAAGTGGGGATTTATTTTTTTTCTGCCGGTCTCACAAATATCTTTGCAGATAGTGGTGATTATAAATAGTCCTTTGGCCATTTCCTGACTCTGGTTTGCCGACTCTGCCTTATTTATGGCAGTGATGAGAAGTGTTCAGTCTCTCCCCCTGGCACGGTTCAGACACAGAGTCCAAACTTCAGAGTGGGCACTGAAACAGAGGGATCCCCACATCCCACAGGGATATCCTTTGGCCCACATGAGTGGGTGCTGCGATGGGATTAAGGGGATCCTGAGCTCTAGATTTACTTAGGCAGACTGCTATCAGTAATTTCCTTCTCCAGACTATTGAGCACATACCCCACAAAGAGGCTCCTCACTGGACACAGGACAAGTGCCTTATGCAGAATCCTCATCACCTCACTGGGCTCTGCCTCCACTGTGTCATATCTTCATCCTCAGCTGCTCTATCACAGAATCACAGCATGTCCTGAGTTGGAAGGGGCCCACAAGGATAGAATTACAGAATCATAGAATGTTAACGGGTTGGAATGGACACTAAAGATCATCTAGTCCCAACCCTTGCTGCCATGGGCAGGGACACGTCCCACTAGACCAGGTTGCTCAAGGCCTCATCCAACCTGACTTTGGACATTGCCAGAGTTGGGGCATCCACAAACCCAACTTGCCCAACCCCTGCCCTGCACAGACACCCCAGCAATCCCACCCTATCCCTCAGAGCATTGTCCAAACCCTCCTGGAGCTCTGGCAGCCTTGGGGCTGTGCCCACTGCCCTGGGGAGCCTGTTCAGTGCCAACCACCCTCTGGGGGAAGAACCTTTCCCTGATACCTCACCTAAACCTCCTCACATTTGCAGAATGGAGTTAGTTGTGCACTGTAATCCCCTTTCAGGAGCTAAGTGACATCTCCCCCAGCCCATCTGCCCAACAGCCTGCTCCTGTTGGCAACATCCCCACCACCACAGCCCAAGCAGGAGTCTGTGACGCAGAAAACAAACTCCCAGGGTGCTCCATCACCTCAGGGTGGATTCTGTGCAGGCTCTGACACTCATACAGAATAGAAACTGTCAGTGCTTCCTTCCTTACAAATCATCCAGGGGAGTACCTGGGAATACAGCACACCACAAGATTACCAAGCTTGCCAGACCAGCCGTCATTTCTATGTGCATTATTCCAGTCTTTAATCATATTATCACTTTGGTTTATTGCAGCCAGGACACTGCTACCAGCAGCAGGAGTTGGATTTCCCACCAGGAACCTGCTCCTGGTTTCTCCCAGTCTGTGCTGACTATAGAGCTTCCCTGGGACTGGGGAAGCATTTCTGCTGGTCCTTTTTATGAGTAGGAAAGCAGAGAAGTCACTGAGTTACCCATGGCAAGGCCAGTGCCAACAGATGCTGAGGTCCCAGGAGGAGTTTAAAGCCTCCAGGCTGGGAATCCCACAGAGGTGTGAGCACCACTGTCCCCTCTGCCCACAGACACCAGGAACTGGAATAAGAAGAGAAAAAAAAATTAACCTTTATTGAAAAGTCAGTTTTGAAATGCGGTGGGGAGAGCTCCTGGCTGGAATGGGCCTGTCAGCAGCTGTCCCCCAAGGAAGGGCTGAGGGCACTTCAAAAATAAGGATGGGGTTTTTCAGGCTCTGGTCACTGATCATGAGGAAGTTTTGAGAGATAAAGCCAAAACTTGGTACTAGTCAGGACAGAAGAGCCCATTGGATGCCATTGGAGTGGTAAGGCCGGCAGGGCTGAAATGTCTGTCCCGAAAAGGCCACCTCATCCCGAGGAACTTCAACCTGAGTGACCTGACGGATACCTCGTTCTCCCAGGACTAAAACATCCTTGGAATTCCCTAGACCTAGGCCACAGAAATTTCCCAACTCAATATGTCTCGACTTGTAGAATTTCTGCGTTAGACCTCACCCTGCTGGAGGAGAAGGGGCCGTTCCTCAGGCAGGAGGGGTCACCCCCTGATGGTGTTGGTCACGTGTAAACAGCATGAAATCAGCAGCAGAAACACCAGTGAGTTTTGGAGGGCCAGTTCCACAAAGCAACCAAATCCTTCAGGAGGAAGGCTTTGAACTCTGAAACTTGACCCTGAACTGGGAACTCTCCCCCACCCAGCGCAACAGCCGCATTAGCTGGACAGCCAAAGCAGGCTGCAAGGTTATTTCAAAACTAAAAGAGAAGATCTGCTTGGTGTCTCTGGAAGCTTCCTGGTTGCCACTTGTTTTCTGCATCCATCCAGTGCCCACGATCAGAAGAAATGGGAGAAGGTTTGGGCTGAGGAAGCTTGGAGAGTTCAAACACTGCCCTTCCAGAGGGAAGAAAGACCCCAAAAGAAGGTGAAGGGATGATTTACCTACTTGGCTCAGGGACACGGGAGGGCAGGAGGCTCTTCCATGTTACAAACGGACCAAACAGAAGCAAAACAGGGTTTGGCTCAGTGAGTCACGTCTTTCAGCAGTGGAGGTGATGAGTGGTTGGCCAAGTCACCATGAGCAGTCAAGGGTTCTCCAGTGCTTCAAAGCACACAGGGACAGCTCGAAATGTGCCCTCAGACATCATGGGACACAGAGGGTGGGGATCTTTTCTCTTCAGGCTTTGGCTTCAGGAGAGAGGGCAGTGAGCAGGTTTCCCAAAGGCTGTTGAGGGTATCTCCATGCTCCTTCTCACCCCTCAAAATCCAACTCACCCAAAGCTTCCTCAAACATTATTGTTTGCTAAACACCGATTTTGCTTTAGTCTGGTCCATGGGGGATTCCTCCTGGCTCTGCTTCATGCCAACACTGGGACTGAAAGAGCCTCGTGAGTGGTTTTTGCCTCTTGACTTCCCACATCCCTTCTAAGCTCATTCGGAAAACATCTTCCCTTGCCCAACGTCTCCACCAATTCCCCTGCCCCTTTGTTTTTATTTAGCTCTGTAATTACATTATCTGACCGTACAGCGTTTGGGAATGAAATCTGCATAGAAGATATTAAGAAAAATAAATCTGTGTTTTGCAATATCTTTGAAGTTATCTTTAGGCTGGGCAACAAGAGCAAAATCAGCGTTTGGCTCTCCACAAATCTCTAGTTTTGCGGAGCTCTTGGGAAAGAGGTTTTCAAGGGCCAGGGCAGGGAAATTCATGGGTTCAGATTAATTTTTTAATACTATTAATAACTATTTTTGGCAGTGCTTCACAAGGGAGAAAAACACCAGGTATGCACGAGATGTAATTATGTTCATAGTTAATGCTGTGTGTTTTCCAGGAGAAGAAAAGCAACACTCTTTTTTTTTTTTTTTTCCTTTTGGAGGAGAATAGCAAAGTTTGCTGTGCAGCACTGGGTGCTGTGAGGATGTGGAGATGAATAGCTCTTTGAGGAGGGACAGGGTGTTGGGATGAGTTTGACGTGAGGATGGGGAAAGGATTTTCCCTGTTTGCATCGTGGTGAAGCAGCTCTCACATGTTAGGGGAGCAATGGCTGGGAGCTTCGGGGATAAATAGGCAGGGGGTGATTTGAACCACGGGTGAGCTGTGAAGGGAAGAAAGAACTGAGGGAGCACAGCAGGGGTGATGCTGCCCAGGCCCTTCACAGAATCCCAGAACCACAGAATGTCCTGAGTTGGAAGGGACCCACAAGGACCATCCAGTCCAACCCCTGGCCCTGCACAGACACCCCAACAATCCCACCCTGTCCCTCAGAGCGTTGTCCAAACCCTCCTGGCGCTCTGGCAGCCTTGGGGCTGTGCCCACTGCCCTGGGGAGCCTGTTCAGTGCCAAGCACCCTCTGGGGGAAGAACCTTTCCCTGAGATCCACCTGACCCTGCCCTGACACAGCTCCAGCCGTTCCCTCGGGTCCCTTCCATCCCCTCACACCCTGTGGGTCCCGCTTCACCCCCGGGCCCTTTGCCTTCTGCTGCACGAGCTGTCCCCGTTCCCTGCCCAGAGGCACCCGTGCCCCGGCTCCCCCCGCCGGGCTCTCAGCCCCGGCCCGGCCCGGGGGCCGCCTCGTACCGCCGTGCCCGGGGTGAGAGGGGTGTTGGCAGCGGGCCGGGGTCCGCACCCGCTCACACACACACACACACACACACACACACACTGCGGGGCGGCCCCGCGCCCGCCGGGCGGCCGTGCCGGGCCGTGCCGGGCCGCTGTGCGCGGTGCGCGGTGCCCGGTGCGGGGGCGGGAGGGCAGCGCGGGGCCGGCCGGGCGGGCGGCGGGGCTGCCGCGCCGGGCCAGACTCAGCCCCTTTCTGCCGGCGCCGCCGGCTGCGAGCTGCGCTGCGGCTGGAGCTGCCCCCAGAGCGGCTCGTGATGGCGGCGGCGCGGGCTCGGCAGCGGGAGGCGCCCGCCCAGCCCTGCGCGCCGCGCCGCTGAGCGGCAGCGCCCGTGCCCGCGGCGGCCGCCCCGGCCCATGCCCCGGGGGGAAGGGGGGCTGCAGCAGCCCGGCGAGCCGCCCACCCGCGCAGCGGGGGCATCGCCCCCACTCGCCGCTCCTGGGAGGGCGGGAAGGAGGCAGCGGCGGCGGCTTTGTGCGCGGCGGGCGGATCGCAGGCCCCGGCGGCGCGGGGTTCGCCTGCTCCCGCCCCAGCCCCATGAACCAGCCGGACGGCTCCGCTCCGGCGGCGGCGGTGCCAGCGCAGGTACGCGGCGGCCGGGGCGGCGTGTCCCCGGGGGGAGGCGGAGGGAGCGGGGAGGAAGGGAAGGGAAGGGAAAAGGGAAGGGAAGGAGGGAGGGCGGCAGCCGCAGCCGCCCCGGCGCGGAGCCCCGGCGGCGCTTTGGCGCAGTGCGCGGGGGGCAGCGCCGGGAGCGGCTCCGCGGAGCCCCCGCGGCTCCCGCGCCCCGCCGGCCGCTCGGACCGGGCGGAAAACAAAGCGGAGCTCAGCAGCCATGTCGGGGACCAGCGGCCCCGCGGCCCGGGCCGGCCCCGCACCCCGGCCCCGCACCCGGCGCGGCCCCGCCGCGCTCCGCTCCCCTCTCCCCGCTCCCCTTCCCGGGGCTTTTTCTTTTTCTTTTCCTTCTCTTTCTCTCTCTTTTTTTTTTTTAAATTTTTTTTTCTCCCCTTCTCTAATTTTTCCTCCTGAACGTTTTTTTTTTCTCTCCCATTTTTTTTCCATTAAAACGACGCCACCTAGAGGAGACTATTTCGTAAATTAAAAAAAAAAAAATTAAAATTGAAAAAAAGAGAGAAATATTCTGCTATTTCTAATTTTTTTTTTTCCCCCCAGAAAGTTGGGGCCGGCTCCCCCCAGTCGAGGTTCCCCCCGCAGTCCCCGCAGCGCCCCGCAAATTTCGTGTGTGTCCCTTTGGAGCCAAAGCCCAGCTCCTGGAAATGAAAATTAAGCAGGAATTTGAATGAATTCAGGTTTTTCTTTCCCCCCCCCTCCATTTTCTGGAGGAAAACGGAGCCTGGGAGCAGCAGAGTGCTGGGAAAAAGAAGTGATTCAAGTTTTTGGTGGGCCCCCCGGGTGAGCTGCAGGGAAGGATTAGTTTGGGAAAGTGGGAGAATTGCTGTTCCGGAGCAATTAGGAATTGGGCTTCATTGTAATTTTGAACTTGTGCAGCACGCTCTGCCAAAACTCAGGGTTATTTTTTTTTTTCCTTTTTGCTGCAGTGCTCAAAGTTATTTGTTGGAAATGAGGAGTTTTGCAAGAAAATAAAGAGCCCAGAAAATTTGCTGTGGACACACCCAAATTTTTTTTTTTTTTTTTTTTGGTGATTTTGGATTTCATGCAAAACTGCTCTTAAACAATGAGGTTTTAAACACAGTCCAGGAAAACACGAGGACAAGCAAAATTAAGAGTCGAATGTCAGTTTTATTTTAGAATTTCTTGGCTTTTCAGATGGTTTCTCCTGGCATAATTAAAACAGTTTCCAGCATTTAATTTCCTACTTCTTTTGTAAAGAAAAAAAATTTCCATACTACGGTTTTTAGTTGGTTTTTTTCCCTTCTTTTTTTAGACACTGTAACAACTCCAGGTTCTGTGGCTCATATAAATCTAATATTTACACAGGTTTATTATAAGGTCCGCCATGATATCACAAATATGCATAATTAACAATATTGGGAAAAAATAATTGCAGATTTAGTGATTTTGTGTTTTTTTAAATTAAAATGCCTTTAAAAGGTTCAGCCATGATATTTTTCACAATTTCAAATTCCTTTTTCTCCTTGACTGTTAAAACCTTGCTGGAGTTTGAATTGAAAATATTTTTTTTCATAATTTTTTAATTTAGTGGTTATTTGGTGGTTTTTTTTGTTTGTTTGTTTTAAATGCTGTTCTGTTCCTATTATTTTGCTGTTACACAGTGCCTGTGAGTTCTGGACTGTGCACACACTGGTTTATTATTGTAGGGTTGCCCTTGAATACTGGGGTCTTGGTATTGATCTTTTTAAAAATAAATAACAAAAGAGCACTGAAACATGCATTGTTTCAAGAAAAAAGCAATCTAGGAGAGATTCATGGCCTTTCCACCCAAAAGTGGGGGAGGGAGAGGAAGGGAAAGATTAGGTCAACATTGAGTTTTACCAACCTTGACACAGTATCCTCTCTAAAATGGGGACAAAATAGCAAGATGGCTGTTTCACAGCTGCAGCACTTTGGTTTTTTTTTTTGGTTTTTTTTTTTTTTTTTTTTAAGGAAAAAGGCATTTTGAAATTTTGAACTCCAAAGTGAGTTTCTGGAGCTGCTGGGGCCCCACCAGCAAATGCTGAAATCCAGGCACTGCAAAAAATCAATTTAAATTTCAATCCTAAACGAATTTTTAATTCTGAATCTCAAACCCCTGAAAAGTTTTTTGGTTTTGTGGCTGGTTTTTTTTTGTTGTTGGTTTTTTTTTTTCGGTTTTGATTTTTATTTCAGTGTAACTTGATATTTGCTGGAAATCAGGCAGGAGTGGCTGCTGAATTCAGGTTTCGGGGGCTGTTTTTCGCTTTCTTCCCCTTTATTTGTTTCGTGTTTTGTGGTTTTCAGAGGGGGGGGGAATGGGAAAAATCTGCAAAGCAGGATAACTCTTGGGTGGAGGAGCAAATACTCTGAAATGTCAAGTCCATGTTTTTATTTTTGCATTTCTTTGCCCCCCAGCCTCCCCGAGAAGGACCCACCCTCTTCCTGAATCCCTTTTTTAGCAAAGAATGGAGCGAGTGCCCGGTGCAGTTACAGCCGGGTGGCACATGTGGGTCACAATTCCACACAGTGCTCCCAGTTGGATTAAACAATCCCCAGGAATATTTTATTCCTGGTTTCATCCAGGAAGCTGTAGCGTGGTGGCTTTTCCATATCCTTGTACTCCAAGAATTCCCTTCCTTGAGCTGCGCCCTGGAACTTTCACGTACTCTGTGATTATACCCAGAGAAACTATTTAGCTGTAATTTTTTTTTTTTTTTAAGATTTCACACTTTTTTTTTTTTCTTGTGTGAAACACATATTTTGATGGTGCTTTTCTTCTGCCCAACCCCACACCCAGAGATCTGGGAGCAACCCCCAGGCTGTACTTTGGGACTGGGGAGGGACACATTTGGGGTGCTGCATGCTCAGTTTTGGGGTCACAATGCCAACATTTGACAATATCTCTCAATGATATCTTTCAAGTTTATCCTGCTGTCTGTAAACAGAGGAACTGAAGCTGGGAAGGCCTTGGTTTAGGTGTGTTTTGTGCTGTTTTCAGCTGTTGTGGGAATGGGGTGAATTTTGGGTGGCTGTTGGAGGTGGGTTTGGGTGTTTCAGTTCTCCTCTGCAGCGATGGGGATGCTCTGGGGGCCTGGCTGGACTCGAGGTGTGGAACTGCAACCTTCCCATCTTTAACTCTCTGTAGATCAGTGTCTTTTCAAGCCCAGCTCCCGTTCTGTTCCTCCAGCGAGGAAATGCTGCTGGAGGTTGTAATGGGTTGCTGCATCTCACCTTTCTGCGTGTCCTTCCAGCAGAAACCTCCTCCTGCCTAAAAAAGATTCCATAATTTTTCATTGCAGTCTTGCTTTTAGGGGGATTTTTTTTTCTTTCTTTTTTTTTTTCCCCCTGTTTTTTTTTCTGGAAAGTTGATCAATATTTTATCATTTTCAAAATTGCTGTTGGCAGCCTGGAAGGGGGAGGAGGGAGGGAGGGAGCCCAGCTGAGTGATACCAACAGATTTCTTGTGACACAACTGAAATGTATTTTTTAAAAAAAGGAAAAATTTCCAGGACCTCATCCTCAGTGAAGATGAAAATAGACATGTTTTCAACCCTGAACGAAAACAGACATAATATTATTAAAAGTGGTAGATAATACTTACACAAATGCCATATAAAACCTTAGGAGGTTGTTCGCATGACTCCAGAATAATTTAAATATATATCACTGCCATAATGCAACGCTGGGAATAGTTCAGTGCACGGTGCAGTCACGTGGCCCCGGTGATGCACAGTCAAGTTTGCAATTATGCAAGTGCAGTAGTGAAATTAGTGTTCTGAAAATTAGATTAATTTAAAATTGGTGGGTTTTTTTTTTGGTTTTTTTTTTTTTTTGGAGAGAAGGTTGAAACCCACTGCAAGGGTCATGCTGATACAGAGTCAGGATTTGTGCCCGCTGCGTCACGGGAGGCTCGGGGTGGATCTCAGGGAAAGGTTCTTCCCCCAGAGGGTGGTTGGCACTGAACAGGCTCCCCAGGGCAGTGGGCACAGCCCCAAGGCTGCCAGAGCTCCAGGAGGGTTTGGACAACGCTCTGAGGGACAGGATGGGATTGTTGGGGTGTCTGTGCAGGGCCAGGAGCTGGGCTGGGTGATCCTTCCAACTCAGGATATTCTATGGATCTGTGCCTCTTTGGGTGCCAGACCTGTTGAAGGATCTCAGTCTTCCCACCATGGTGTGGCAGGGCTTGGTACCTGGTGCTGGATGATGGTCCTGACTGGTCCCCACGGCACAGCTCCCCACGGCACAGCTCCCTGTGGAGCTACACTGGCTGTGGGTGGGTGAGCAGTGTTGGGAATGGCACCTTTCAGGTTCCCTGGCACTACCAGTGGAGGCTCTGGTGGCCTCTGCTTGAGCATCCTCAGCTTGAGCATCTCAAGCCTTGCTCTGGTTTCAGGAATGGCCCAGTGCAGGTGACCAGGAGAGCTTGTGGTCGCCCTCCCCAGGTACTTTGGTGGGGTCTGTGTGTGCAGGGAGTGCGTTGCCCACGCTCAAGGCTTTGCTGACCCCACTGTACCCTGCTGGTGCTGCTCAGGGTGCTCTGGCTGCTCCAGGGCCTGCCTGGGTCCACACCAGCCATTATCTGTGCACTAATCGTGCTGGAGGCTGTAAATCGGACAGGGTTAGTCCTGCAGTCGGGGGGAGCCACCCTGAAATGTGAATCTTGTCAGAGGTTTGCAGGATTAGGCCCTGTTTGCCCATAATGTGCCAAGAGGGGACTGAAGGGAGGGACAGGGGGAAGAGGTGCCTGGGCAGGGGCTGCCAGCACAGCTGGAGGCTGTGGGGGCTTTTTGCTGAGGGACATGAGGAAATGGCACCAGCAGATATTTATTTCTTGTCATTTCTAAATTTCTGTGCATCTGTCATTGCATGTATTTGGAATTTCACATTTACGGCGTCAGTTGGGTCATACCGTGTTTTTTGGGGAAGAAGTTCCTGATTTTTAAAGGTCTTTTATGGATTAATTGCTACTCATC